GCGAATTTTGCCTTCTCTCTGTCTGAAATGCTTCCAAAAATGAACTGTAACTCAGTAAATACTTATCACACAGGCACAAAATACATATTGTTATGAAGCTGAAATTATCTTCTTTTAAATTAAGTACTTTACATTTAAACAAATTCTCAGTTTATGTAATCTGAATGAAAAGAAAGAGAGATGTCAGTTTTTTTCCTTTCACCTATTTATAGCTTATACCTAATTATAGTTAATGTGACCATAGGGACATTGTAATTGTTTGGTGACGAGTTGATTGGAATGATTATTTGAACATGCTCCTCCCGAACTTTATGTATAAAACATCATTTGTTTTTTGGTAGTTCAAAAGACCAGTAGGGGTCTTTTTAACTGTTTTTTTTTTTTTTAGGGGGACTCGTTATCATGTTTCTTCTGCCTGTTCCTTGTGTTTCCTTTTTTCCCAATTGTACTTATTAGCACCTGTGTCTTGTGTCTTGTTTTACCTGATTAACATTATGTATGGCCATGTGTTTGTTCCAATCCTTTGTCCAATATAAACTTGTTAGATGGTTTCCATGTTGTGGTCTGTTTTCAGGCCTTCCATTTTTTCCCTCCTTGTTGTTTCCCTTGCTCTTGGATATATTTGTCATTTTTGTCACTTTTAACAAAGAGCTGCTCTTGGATTCAGAAACTTTTGTTAGTTACATGACTGAAGCTGATTGATAATGAAGAGATGATAGTCATGAAATGCACTACTACACCACATTCAAAAACACTCTCTGTGACATTCCACTTTGTAACTATTTCTATGACGCAAGAACTTTTTTTTACTTCCTCAACTTTTGACCAAAGTACCTCACACAACTAAAACATCTGCATTAGTACCAAAGTATGAATTCATCACTCTAATGCCATGCTATGACAAACTTCTGCAATATTATGAGTCTCACCGTCAAAGTGAGTGTGAATTGCCGTCTTAATACACTAAAAATTTTGCTACCAAGTTAAAGGGTAACTAAACCCTAAACCAACTTTTTTTACTTAATGATCTGTAAGAATTTGGCTTTATTAGTGCTGTTCATTGATTCGAGTAACTTTTTTGACATTTGGGTATAAACAGGTAATCGGGAGAATTCCCGGTGGGCCGCTTCACTTTTGTGGGCCGGTCGAGGCCATTACTGTACATTTGTCACGTTGTCTATCTTCTCTTGAAGGCTACACACGTTCCACATTCTGTGGAAGCTCAGTATTGAGAAACTACTAATAATATTAGCTTTTTTTTTTTTTTTTTGGAATTGCTGGTTTAAAATTATTCTAATTTGTTAGTCATTTTAGATAAAAGCATCTGTTAAATGATTAAATCAATCATTTCATCTAACAGTTTTGTTGAGGTGTTTGTGGTTGTTCCACAGAAATTTGTGAGTTCATATGATTTTTTCAAATATTTTTGGTTGTGGTTTTTTATCATGGCCATTACTAGGAAAACATACGTTTCCTTGTTTGTTAATAATAGTCCGTAACATCAGGGAGCAAAATATGGTGGTTCTGAGGGATTATTGACAAATAGCTTTTTTTAAAAATACACCTCATATCCTCCATCATTCCTCCATCATTTCCCCAAAAGTTAAGAAGTCCAAAACATGATGTTCTGGTGTTAAAATATGAACAAAGCATTCATAGAGCTTTTGATACCAGCATACTTTTTTAAGGATCAAAAGTGTTTTATATCAGGATACAAAAAAGGTAAAATGAGGAAAGACTTGGAGCCAGGAAGAAGAGGGTAAATCATCTTTCATTGTTGTTCAATCTTGTTTTATAGTCCATGCTGGTCTTTATGTAGGTCAGTTGAAATCAGACTGTTTTGGCCAGTGACAGAACAATGCTTTCAGCTTGATGTAATAGCACTAGTCTGTCTCACAACCCACAATGCACTGCCCTGATACCGCTTTCCAAGTTATATGCTCATCCGATCTCGGTCAGACTGCCTTAAAAGGCCAGAGACGGCGAGCGTGCAGCTGTTACATTCAACAGCTTGAAATATTACCCCTTTTTTCCATCTTTCTCTCATTCCGTTGTCTCAGGAGTTTAAAATGTTTTAAAATTTTAAAATTCCTGCATGTAGACATTTATTTTGTCAAACTAAGGTAACAGTTGGGTCAGACAGGACTTTTGAGATGGTTATTAAAGGCACAATATGTAAGATTTTCCCATTAAAATATCCCCAAAACCTCTAGCTCAGTGTTATGTAACTTGTTCAGTTGTGTACTTATTATCTCAAATGTTACCAACAAAATTTGTGAATTTGGTTAAAATTGTGAATTTCTCTTTGCATTTAAACAGTGTAACAACCCTCCTCGTTGTGTAGCCTATCAGTGGTAAAAACCATGGCAAAATAGCAAGTCTCATGAAAAAATGCGTTGTAGCCACTGATCTATATAATGACTGGATAGCTCATGACGTTCTAAACTGCCACTAGGCAGTGAAGCCACCGGAAGTATTCGAGCGGCCATCTTACAATTCCCTACCAACAGAGGACTCCAATGGCCGTTATACAGAGATAGTAGCTCCGACAGCACTTTTAAGAGGACCCACTGTGCATAAACAAGTGTTAAACGAAGTCCACAAAAGGATCTACAAAAAACTGCCCACAGGTTGTAATTAAAGGCAAAATATAGTAATGTATATGCACTATTGTTGCTATTTCCGTGTTGTTTAAAAAAGGTTTATAGCCTACTGTGCATTCTTTTACATACGTATTCAAGTTTAAACCCAACAAACGTATTATTCAATGCATTACTTATTATTATTTTAATTACATTTATTTCTTTACTATATTTTCATGTCAACCCGTGTTCAGTTTGACCACAAACCATGCACTGTCACTTATTTCAGCGCCTGCAGCACAGCAGAAATCGGTGCGGGAAAGACATCCGACATGTTTTTTTCTTGATTTTTGGGTTTCTACTTTAAACAATGGTTTCTACCAAGGATGGCATATTGGTGTGCAATACAACTGAGTCTGCACAGGATGTTTATTTTGAAATTGACAGTGTTTTGACTGTGCGACTTGGACACGATGTCTGTCAAAAAAGACTCGGCGCCTATCTTTAGCAACGCGCCGCATCGCGGCTGGTTAACTCGCATGCATTGACTAGAGTGGGCGCGATCACCTCCAACAGCTCCGGTAGCCGTGACGCAGCTGAACACACCACAGACGTGTGCAGTGTATGGGTAAATAAGAGGTGAAACAGGCATACATTAACCCATTCAATTTGTATATTCATTTTCTGAACATGTTTTTGCTAACTAATCAAATACTTGAACAGATCTATATGTAAAACACAACCCGTAAGAGCTATATTTTCAGTTCACAATACACATACTTTAAACAAATACCCATTTAAATGTTTAGGATGTTTGCGTTGTAAGACTGTTCAGGGAGACTTTAGATTTTAAAACGGTGTCCCGTTATGCAATGTTTTCTCAGTCAAATCATACAATTTCCTATTGATTCAATAGAACGCGTGAGCTCACTAGGGAATCACAATATGGCGGCGCGATGGCTTCACTGTTTATGACGTCATGAGCTATCCAGTCATTCTATATAGATCAGTGGTTGTATAGCATCTAACACGCCATTCTGTTGTTGTTTCACACAGTCGTCATGGACTACACTTATTCGTTTTGGTTTGCTGTAGGTTCTGTCGCCCATGATAATGCCAAGAAACATAAACTGATGAGTGAATCAAATGACCCTCTAAGAGTTTTGTACAAGAGGAGAAATAAAACAAGGATTAATATATGTGTGGCATTTCCTAACACTGTTTAACAAGTCTGGTGAAAAACTCTGTGGCAGTGTACCTAAAAACTGTATGCGTTTTACATAAATAGTAAGCCAGCCTTTTTGCAAATGGTGAGTACTTTCAAATATACTTTTAGTATGATTGTTTTGAGCACACAAAACTGCGCTGCACTATTTAATTCAACAAATAAAGTGACATGTATGAGTAGAAATTTTGCATTAAACATTACGTTACTTGCAGCTAATTCGTTCAAATAAATTATAATCATGTGATCAAATGTAATGGTTATAAAACTTTTTCAGTCCCTTAAAATTTTTGAGTCCCGTAAAATTGATTTCCATCGGCAGTGGATGTAAAAGACCACAACACCCATCATTCGATGGTCCTTCAGTGTCATCAAGCTACACCTTTGTTATTGTTTTGAATATGTAACCTCTAGCAGCAAAAATTACATATTGCGCTTTTCCATTACAAGTACCAGCTCGAATTGACTCAAGTAGAATCGACTCATCTCGGCTCGCTTTTCGCTCCGTTTTCCGTTGCAGACAGTACTGCCACAAATAGTACCCGGTCGGCATAGCGACACTGCAGGAATGTAATCTTATTACGTTCGTGACGTAATCCTATACGCGAGTATATGAATCTTATACAAAGTAAAGTCTGCACCTAATCGTTTGACCACGGCGCATTCTTCCGATTTCCCATAATAATAGGCTACGTGCACAAGCGTATAGTCACAAACTTCCGCTATTGTCAGAAGTCGGCATATCAGTTTCCGGTTTACGACTGTTCACCCACATCCACTAATAAACAAACAAGATGAGTGCTGCTGTTGTATAAAAAAAAAGTTCTTGAACACATCTAAGTTTCTAAGAACTGTTGGTGGGTCTAACGCCCGTTTCACATATACCCCGTTTGCAGTGTTTGTGGTACAGCCACTTTTTTCGTACAACAGCAGCACTCATCTTGTTTGTTTATTAGCGGATGCGGATGAACAGTCGTAGACCGGAAACTGATATGCCGACTTCTGACAATAGCGGAAGTTCGTCACTACGCTTGTGCACGTAGCCTATAGTAGTTTAGTAACGATCTTGCCAAACTATTTAAAAATGGTGGGGTTATTCTGGAGACTCCATCTGGCGCGTGCAATGATGACGCAGTGAATAGTTAATTGAGAAAAAAAGGAAAGATTAAAGAGACTGCACCACAAAATATTTCTAAATATTTTATTTGGAATAAATACCTTGAAGCATGACGAGAAAAAAAAATATGTATAACAAGACATAATAGGTATTTACATGACTTGTTTGTGCACAGCCAAATGGATGTATACATGGTATACAAGCCCATGCGGGACATTGAAATCTTTTGCTGTAAGAATGAGCAAAAGAAAAATATGCATTAAAGTAATACAGAAACCATCTTTTAGATGGACAATATGGTCACTCTGAAGAACCTTGATCACAAACGTAATGTGTTTTTGTGTATTACAGGGATTTTCACTTACTGTGTACAAAGAACAACTTGCCACTGAAGCACAGGCCACAACACTGTACAACCATGTGCCACCAGCCACCAGTTCTTAAAATTCATTTTAATAGTAATAATAACTTAGTTAAAATGGCAACTGTACCAGACAGGGCATGATTATAGCAGCTGCATCTCTGGCTCAGTGGTAGGTAGAGAACAGGAGAGGAGATAAACAGCATTACAATGAACAAACAAAAAAGAGTTCTGGTTGAAAGCTGGATGGGGAGAGAATGAGTTTGGCAATGCAGAACATGGCTGACAGCAGGAAATATGCTGGCCAGAAAAAAAAAAGGTCTGCTGAGCTAAATAACAGTGACTTTAAGGAGATGAATGTACATTCAAAAAGAGTCAGACGGCTAACATGCTAACACACGTGTACTGATAAAACACAGGCCTTGTGTATATAAGGCTTTCTCATTGCTGTTTTTGTTTTAGGGGGCTAATACATCAGTGAAGACTTAAACATTTCCATGATCTGTGCTTTGTCAAAATGGACCCTCTGAGTTACTGTACGTCATCTTGCAGCAGTAAAGGTGGATCATTGGATTGCACGAAAAGCCTTGTGGAAAGTAGTTAGAAGTTTTCCAGTTACATTACAACACAGATGACTTCATTTATTTGCATGACATAAAGCACTGGGATAACCGGCTTTGTCGCTCTAGTTGTGAAAATATGCTAATATTTATGCCTGTTTGTTGATACGAAGGATGTGCTGATAGAAATGTAGCCTGTGCTTCCTCTCAGTCCTTAAGCAATGTGAAAAATTGAAAACTGTGAACAAACTAGTGAACATTATTGACCTCCTCGGCAAATACTCCAGTATCATTCTTGGATATTGATCTTAATTTTTGGTTAATAATTAATTTCTCCCCAGGAAAAAAAGGGTAGATTGCAGCCAGTTCCATGCAGTCCAAGGGCATTTCTGAGCAAGTTTATTATATGCCCTGTGGAATGTTTCGGTTAACCCAGATGGACTATATCAGTTCTTGTTGGCTTCTCTCCACTCTAGGCATTCATTAATGGCCATTTCAAACATCAATTAGCTCACACAAATAGAGATGTTTACACTGATGTCTGCAGAAAAAAATTCATCCGTTCAGTGCTGTATTTGTGCACATTAGGCTTTAAAACTACACTGTTGTATTGGCCTTGCATTGCAATGCCCAATGTCATCTCATTAGTAATCACAGGTATTCGTATAAAGTGTGGTTCTATCACATTATTTTCATGTCTGCATAGACTCTTACATTATTGACATGTTACAGCATCTCAAATGTAAGCATTTTACATGTGAATGATGTATAGGCATACAATTTTTTTTTAAAAATAGTTTAGGTTTATGGAATACTGAACTGATGTTAATGGCACTGCATTTAATCAATGACAATAATGTGTTCAGTGTCATCACATTTTATTGCTTTTACTTAATTTTAAATAATTTACATTTATCTGCCTTTTTTATATATATTTTTTATATATATTGTTGAGAAGTGGTTAGCTTCAGGATAGAGGTGAGATTAGGTAACTATACAAATATATTTATAATATAACAAATAATAAAGAATTCATAAATGTTGTTTTAAATTCATAGTTACATACTTTTGTTTTAGATGCTGTCAATACGTCTATGGCATTATTCAAACAAACAAAAATATATATGAAGATATTATGTACGAATACCTATGAATTGTAATGACATCGGGCTATAATGCTATTCATGATTATGAATTTGATCGCATCTGGATGATTTACAGGTGATGAATTATTTAATAATTGTTACAATTGGAGGTAGAGTACTATTTGCATTTGTGTTCAAACCTGTTTATCTCATGACCACAGATGTCTGTCTTTTGTCATTGTTTTGTCATTGTTTGTCCCTTTGTCAGGCAGATGAGAAAATTTAAACTATGATCCAGAACGTAGTTTTTTTTCTTTGTTCTTTTCTCTTTTGAATATGCAATTCGACAAAAATAGAAGGTCCATGTAGAGCAATGATAAAGGGAGACGCTGCTTATTTACAAGGGGCTAATGAACAGAAGTCCAGCTCCTGTGGCTTCTTCTTGTCTGCACACTTCTCCCTGGAAAGCAACGTTCCCACTTTTGTAACGCAGTGAAGCAGGCGCCTTTTGAAACCCTTCCCGCAAGTCTTGGAGCAGGGGGACCAGTCACCCACCTCCCACATAGGGCAAGGGTCTCCACATGCCCAAATAGCACTTGGCTTTTGGTGAGGGTCACAGTCCACCCCAGGCCCACCATCTACCCCAAGACATTGCACCATCCTCCTCTGGAGTCCATTACCACAAGTAACTGAGCAAACGTCCCACCCTGACGCCACCCACTTCCCTGGTTTTGGTGCGATATCTTTGACGTACATGGGTGAGATTTTGTCCTTGAGAAGATCTGCTTCCTTTTCACCTTTGCTGATCCCTCCATCTTCCCTAAGGACACTGTTTTCAGCACGTGCCTTTCCTTCTTTCTTTTGCACCTTGTTATCCTTGCTCTCTCGTGGCAAGTAGAAAGAGTAACGTATGCGTGGAGGTGTCATCTGGCCCACAGACAGCACTTCAATTATCAGGGCTTCACCCAGAGGTTTCACAGCCTGTAGAGTCTCTGAGGATCCAACTGTTCCACTGTAGCGGAGCAGACTCCCTTTCACCAGAATATCCTTCTCCATGGCTGAAACCACATAGTTTCCATTCAGCAGGTACTTGCCCTGGTTGTTCTTGACAGCAAGATAGTTGTCATCACTCATGATGCCCTTGTAGCCACGCTGCCTGATGTCGACGTTGGAGGCTCCCATGGGAAGCATGACCACAAAATTATAACCATGCCTGAGAAAAGAAAAAGTATTAATGTTTTTTTGCGTAATCTTTTCTTTCCTAGTACTGTATATCAGTTGACCGGTCTGCATGCATCAAAAATAATGAGAACGTGTGTTTGCAGGTTGTATTGAACGTAACCACATTAAAAAAAAAAAAACTAAAAAAAAACTGTCCTGTATATAGATATGTAGGTATAAATGGTTTATCACGTTATTTGCACGCTATAGACATTAATAAGTGTTCACATTGTTAGCAAATGTTTCAACTATGTTACGAGATATTTTTCCACTTCAGAAATTCCACATGTGTAATGGCGGGAACTTTGAAAATGATTTTAATATGCAAAGCTCTGACCCAATCATATAAAATTGGATGTTTACTTCAAAGTCTTGAATGCAACACGCCAAGTGTTCGAAAGAGAGGGTCAAAACAGGATTTATGTCTAAATTTGATATCATTATAAGTGGACATTAGAGACCACAAAAAAATGCCATTCTGTCAGGACCTCTATAGTCAAATACGTTTCACAATTAGCATAAAATTAGGATCAGCGGTTCTGGGCAAGAACTCCCAAACCATTCTTGCAGCCTTGCATGGATAAGAGCAGGGAGAGCAGCAATAACCCCCTATAGGCTAAACAGAACGGAACCAACATGAATGTATTGCAGATATCATTAATTCAAGATTTTAAAATTCGAGAATTTATTCTGATTCAAAGGGCACTCAGAAGGCCAAATACTGACTGACGAGAGGAGGAGCTGGGGATGAAGGAGGGTAATTAGCTCCTGAGAACGTGATAACGGCTGATAATACTCAAAGGAGCTTATTATGTATACAGTGATACGTATTCCTAAAGGTAGACGTGGATCAGCTGAGAGTCAGCTGATGCAAGCTTGACTAACGTGACCTGCCAGAGCTGATGCTGTTCTTAATTTCATGACCCTTGAAGATTATTTATCTTCTTATTTAACTTCACTTACATGGGCTTGGTGAAAAGGCCTGAGACCTTCTTGCAGTTCTTGTTATCTCCTCCACAGACACCACACTTATCAAACTTTTTGTTAGATCCCAGTTTTCCATCACAGCCTGCCTTGATGCATTTGCCTTGGACACAGACTGATGAGGAGTCAGGAGAACATGGTGTACCATCAACAACCTATAAAAAGCAGAAAAAAATGATTTAAAATGTAATTTAATTGCTGCATTTTATAGTGACTGTTCTTTTACAAGGGGATTTCTTATACAACATTTTTTTTTTTATTGATGGATTGACAATTTAGAGAAATAAATGACACTTTTTTTTTATTTGTAATTGAGTGAAATTATAGATATTAAAACAAAGATATAGGCCTACAGAATATGTATGCATTAGATATATCAAATGTAATTAAGTATATTTTTAGTTGGACCTCAGCACTATTTCCGGATAACTAAAGTGCCTTGAGTACAAAATTGGTCGTTCCAATTTAGCAGACTTTAAGTATACCAATTTAGTACACCAAAAGTACAGTTGCTGGCTATTTATATTACATTCATAAATATGTAAATGTATTGTAGTATACTTACCGGTAAAATAAATATATTTCAAATACATGTTAGTATATTTATATTTCACTAGGGACTATTAAGCTATTTCTGGCTCTACTCTTTTGACCATTTGTTTTGGATGATTTGTCACACCTTCAAATTAGCAATGAGGCTTACGGGATTATTGTACTGTTTAGCCTTTAGTATTTTATTTTATTTTATCAAGTAAAACATGACTTGAGATTAGAGTTTTTTCAGTCTCCTTGAGAGTTCAAGCTCTGAATAGTTTTCTACAGTGTCAAAGGCTGGTTAAAACAGCATGTCAGTCTCATAAACATACCTCTCTAGCCATACACTAGTCATGACGTAACTGTTGCGTCTGTGCAGTTTCACTCCACACAACACTATCTCACAAAAGATAGGCCCTTTTCCTATTCCTGACCACTCGGCTCTTAATGTAGTGACATCTGACATAAGTGTAAAGCAGCCATGAAACTGGTGGAGCTGGTAGCTCTCCACGTACTTTCTTCTCATGCATATAGTAATAAATGTTTTTAATTTAATGATTCTTTGCATTTCAATAATTTCTTAGATCAATGTCCACTAGCTCATAACTGTTCTGAAATTGCATGTGTAGCCTTTCATGTATCAAATTATTGCAAATGTATTTTATGGTGTTAATGTGTCTCACTTTATATCATAGGAGACCATAAATTAATGTGTTTTCCACATCCCTCATAAAGCACTCAAGCTCCATTTATGTTAACTCATATATTTCCCCTGAATGCATGATATTCATATTTAAATTAAATTTTAAACTATATATTATAAATAATATTTTTGTATTTATTTATTTTTGATGCTTTCGAACTTTGTTACATATTTTTTTATTTTTCTTAACACTTATTGCTCACCTTTGGTGCAAGAACATAGAAGTATCCTGTTCCATTTGCCCTGCAGATCAGCTTGCACATATCTTTGGCCGACACACCAGAATATTTGGGCACCCACACCACTGAAGGGGTGAGCCGGTTAGTGTTCAGACTAAACCCATTGTAAGCTTCACACTGCTCCTCACGATAGCTCTTCCCTAAAAAAGGGGGGCAGATGAAAGAAGAGCACATTTCTTGAAATATTTGATTCCATTTGCAATTCATACAAAAAAGTCATACAAATTTCATTTCAAAAATTTCACATTTTTGTATGCTGATTTTTTGGGGATAAAAAACATTTTGAAATGGTTTTTAAACCTGTGTCAGTGCATGGGGAAATGTTGCAGGACCGGTATTTGACTCTCACTCCCTGACAGTATTTGCCTCCATTCTCCGGCACAGGGTTGTCACACTCTCTCTTAGACAGCTGCACACCACCTCCACAAGTTCTGGAGCAGGTACCAAATGGCCCCCATTTACCCCATCTGCCATCCATCTAACAGAGAGGAACAGGAAGAGGGGGAGGTCAGAGATCACTTGACCTTTAATAAACATTAAACAACCCCGGACAACAGAAAACTTTACTTCTAAACCCCAGGTGACTCGGCCATAAAGAACACTACTCGTTCACAGGTCATGTGCAAATTCTTTAAGCAACAGGGCAAATAAACCAAGTAAGAGGTCAAGTGGAGTACGATTAACAGGCTGACATCAATATGTCAAAGCTCTGTTGTGCCACATGACATCTTTCACAGTGAGAGTTCCTTTAAAATGTGTGTGTTTGCCAATTTAAACCCAAACAGCAACTTTTTGGCCGGGCAGTGTGTGAAGGTACCTTAGTTTTAGTTATCTCCTGTTTCTCCATGCATGTGCCCCGCATGCAGAGCTGTCCGTCCCCACAGCTGGTTCCATCTGCCCACGGAAAGTGTCTTGTTTGGCACACCAGTTGCCCGCGGGTCTTCCCTGTGCACCACAAGCGCTGACATGGTGCCTGCATGAATGGGCACGGCTTTGAGCCGGCACCGAAGGCAAGCTCACACTGCCGATCTAAACCATACGATGCACCAGGAAGCACGTCTGGAAGAGCTAACGGTTTGTGAGGTTGATCCAGCAGACAATCACCTGCATTGATATCAAAGAATAACAGAAAGTTGCATTTATACAGTTGTATGAAATTCTATTTACAGCACTTTAGATATTTATGCTTGCTCAAAAAACCTGGGGTGAAAAAGATATCATTTTAGGGCTTCGGGTAAGTTTGACCCATGAGGAAAGGGTTTGTTATAGAATGCAAGGAGAGGATGAGGGTTAAAATACAAAAAAGTATTGCTTTTAACAGAAAGAAACTAAAGTTTAAATAGATGATTTAAATGTGGGCATGACATATTGTGTTTATCAGAGATGTAGTCTACAGAGGGCAAATACCAACCCTGAAAGGGGTACTGAATCCCACTGGGACCCCACTGTAAACATTCACAGAAACACTCCAGTCAAACAGTTACATCAGTTGCCACACTGTTTAAACAAAAGTTTAAATCACAGAATTTTGGCAAGCTGTAACTTAAGCTGGCCTTGAGACATCTATTTCTTTGAAGACAGCTTTTTAGAAAGCACCGACACTGAGGTGTTAAATCCAGACTCTATAAATCACTCTAAGCTGACTCATATACACTATCATTCAAAGGGGTATATGGTTAGATTTGTAAAGTGTTTATAAAAAAAAAAAAAAATTGTGCTCACCAAGGCTGCATTCATAAAAAAAAAGTAAGTCACATGATCTTTCAGAAAGCATTCTAATATACTGAGCTGGTGCTCAAGAAACATTTCTTAATATTACAGATGTTATATTATACGGTTGTGCTGCTTAATTTTTTGGGGGGGAAACATGATTTTTCAGTATTCTTTGGTAAATAGAAAGTTCAAAAGAAGAGCATTTATTTGAAACACCTTTTTTGTAACATTGTTATGTTGGCTTGAGAAAGCCAGCATACTGAAATGCTATTTAAATTTAATATTAGTCTTCTGAGACAAAATTTTCCAGAGCTTTAATTCTCTAAGCACCAAACTCACCACAGACCTTGGGCCTGGTCTGAAATTCGTTGCTATATTCACCTTATTTTCCACGACAACAAGGGCGACGCCAATGCGTTCGTTTTGTCATCTCACTTCCGGCTGAAAGGGACTTCTACCAACTTGGTAGAAAGTATTTGTTTTTTACAGTCTATGAAAGGGAACTAGGCTAGTTGCTAGATGTAATTATATAGCTGTAACAGTAAAATATGTCAAGTATTATATGTTAGGGTCTGCCATAACAATTCGATTAAGAGGAGAGAACAACTAAATCAACGGTGTTACGAGCACAGTGTGAAGTGGTCGGAGTGTTGTGGGTGCACTTTACGATTTACAGCTACCACCTAAAGACGAGGAGCACCTGAGGCCATGGTGGAAGGCGCTAAACTTGAAGTGGCCACCCAAGCACCCTTATTTGTGATCGTACCATTTCTTGGTCGGGAAGCCAACTGACGAACACCCTTACCCCGAGGACATATAGAATCACTGCAGAACGTTGATTGGTTGACAGAGAATCGTCACTTGCGTGTGCTACAATGGGAATGACAACATAAGATACAACATGTTTTAATATAGAGTTGAAATACTCTCTGAATAATACTACTGTTATTGTGTCACGAAATGTAGTTTTAAGAGTTTTCAGGCGAGAATGTAGTTAACTGTAGTTTATTTATAAAGATTTATGAAAATTATGAGCTCTGAGCTCATGTACTCCGCCTGGAACAGCCTTTCCTCGTCTAGCCATTCTGACGTTTGCCACTGTCAGACTCCGATGTCTCTGTAGTGGTTAAACATGAGATATAATTTGTCTTGTGTAGACCTAATGGCGATCTTTGGTCTTGTGAATCTATTTTGTTCCCTTGCCAATCGTTTTGTCTGAGGGCTAAGTGAAGTTTCATATATTAAACTTTACCATTGTGATGTTAGACTAGAGCACTGAATTTGTATATTTGACTGTATTGTTTGCTTTATTTCTTACTGTAAACTTCTTGCGCCTTTTACTTATACTTTTATAATGGCTAGTATTGATAAAAATGAACAAAAAGAGATAGGGTTGAGTTTTGTCATTTTTAATTTTATTACAAGATGATCACTGTAATGTTGTTTATTGCAACAATTGTTGTTTCGTACAAATGCACATATTGCCTGGGATAAGTTTAATATTTTAAATATGTAAACGAAAAAAGGAAGGGTTGTGTTTAATATTTTGTTTATTTATAAATAGGCTAACGTCATGCATGGAGTGAATATAATCAATATGCGTTGCCTGAACCACAATTGTGTGCCTTTAATGTTTAAAATTTCTTTAAATGAAAACGAAAAGAGGCAGAGGGGTGTTTTATAACATATTTCATTTTATTGTTGCCTAAATGTACATACAGAGATAACTGGAGTAGCAAAGCGAGTTGAGTTACTCTTTCAAGAACGGCTGTTTCATTGGCAGAATTACCGGACTCACGTCCTCACGAGTCATTCTCCTGAGTCGGACTTTGCGTACTTGGTATTGAGGAATGCCTAATGTTGGCGCTTGTCTTCTTGTGACAAACATCCACATGCCGAGAAGCAAGAACAAGATCTGCTGTATGTCATCCATTGTTGTTTACTATGTCGCTTTCTTCTTCGTGCGAAAATGGTGTTGATCGCCTCTATCCGGCAAACACCACACCTATCAAGTATAGGTCCTGTTTGCGGTGGAAGCGCAAGCTGGATCAGAGTTTACCGTCCCGAATCGTACTGTACTGTACTTTACCGTGTTGTACTTTAACACTTATAGTGTTGTACTTTCTTCACTTTCACATGGCTTTACCTTTGTACAATAACCCTGCAAAGGCCAAATCTACAAGATTAGGCATTATGCAAAAAGTGCACACACAGTCGCATTTGTAATTCACGTTACAAGCAACCCATATTCAGGCCAACTCAGTTTGCTTAAAAATTCATGAGTCTCGACCTGCTACGTTTCACTTTCTTTGACTTACCGTGTCCACTGTCCAGGTAGTCAGTGATAATGGCAGCACTGCACTGGGACCAAGGACTGGTACGGTTGATTCGGATCAGAGTGGGAGACATCATGTGATTGTCCTGCAGCTTGCCAAAAACTTCCTCACAAGCCTTAACATTATCATGTGGCATATTGAATACATGTCCTGCAGCAGGGAAGGAATAAAGGGGAGAAGGAAAGAGTGAGAAATGATGAGAACACAGAAGAGGAGAGAAAAAAAAGAGACTTAAAATGCAAGGTGTGCCAGCACTCCATGTTGATGTAAATGAACCATCTCTGGAAATTATACAAATGTAAGTTTAGATGTTTGCCTTTTAAATCACCAATAATTCCAACAACTTTCATACAATTTTCCTGTCAGCAATCAGACCAAAGCTATCCTGAATCACTTCTACAATACCTCCAACAGCTCCCCACATTTCCTCCCTGGCCTTGAGAGGAAACTTTTACAAAACCGCCTATTATGGTTCCTACAGGGAAACAAGCCACTTCAATAGAGCTTATCATTTCTCAGTGTTCCACTGAGCTAATCTGAACTGAATGAACATAATTTCTGGGACAATGTTGTGTAGATCCTCCAAAGGTTTTTGGATACTGAAATTACTTGTTCTAGCATGTTTTGTAGGGTTGGCATTGGCAAGCTTTCAGATAAGTTATTACAGCACCTTCAAATAAAATAAGTGACGATGCAATAGGCTTGTTATTGAAGCATTATGTTTTTGCTGGGAGATATAATCTGAATACTAGTTAAGGAAAAACTTTTTTGAGTGTGAGTCAGTGATATTGTGCACAATGTATTAAATCAATATTTTAGCTGGGGGACCCTGTCTGGGTGAACCGAATCAAACCAACAGCTAGTCGCCAGTTACGCCACTGGGCAGTCCATGGACATAAGTCTCAAGGCCCTTAACTGGGCAAAGTAGATTGAGCTTCTCTTGGTTTACCAACACGTAAGGAGGAGGATGAAAGCCTAGCAATATCGCATAATATGCAATATTTGTGGGTACTATGGGTGTAAGATGGCTTTAATTAGCATTCAATGGCCTCCTTCGGCAAGAGAGACTGAACTCCCTATTCCAGTACCTGAGCCTGCTCGGGATGTACGTGAGGAGAAGGGTTTTTCCCTCTACCTAGACACCTCAGTGTGGAGGTCTGGACAGAAAGGCAGGCCTGACTTGGAGGTCGAGTTTTACTGGGCAGGAAGTGCTCATCCAGCTTGCTCTCACAATCCGATTCTTGTTTTTCAGCCAGCCAATCGATGTTTAACTTGGCCACTGCACATGTAACAACCTCCACCAGCTCCTTGTAAGCAGGGGATGGAGGTAGTGCATCCTCTAAATCCCCTGTCTCGATGGTCACAAGATCCACCTCCTTCTTGCTGAAGACACAGAAACTAATGCTGCATTGTTCTTAATAGCTTCAGCAGTACGCGTCACATGTCAAAAACTGAAGTTGTTGCGCCAATCACACATGCTTCAGATGCAGTCACACTGACGCGTTCCCCATAGCGTCGACATCAGACACAGTTACAACATTTGCCAGCAGGGGCAACCGGCTAATGGGTCAAATAGTTATAGGAGAGCCAGGGAGTATATGAGTAATGTGTTTTTTGATAGACCATATTGCTATTTAATACTTTTATATTGAAGTCAATCACATTGACTTGTGTGAAGCATACATCCCTGTTTAACAATCTTGAAACTTAAAGACTGCAGTTCATTTAGTACTTGACAGTACTATGGAAGGGAAACTGAGTGCTGATGATACGTTGGATTCAATAGTAGAGGTGTGTATAAATTATAGCCATTTAATTCTTAACCTGTTAACTGTCACCCCCCCTTTTTTGAATAGACATGAAAATGCACATTTCGAACTTAAATGGTTGTAATTCAAGAATGCTTTGGAATATAGACATATGATTGGTCTTGTTTTAAAGAAGACATTTGGCAGATTTTTGTAGAAGTGAAATAAATTAAGAAAGTGAAACAGAAAAAAAGTTATAGAGGTTTGAGTTTATGGAAATGTACAATGCAAAAATATTAATTATTCATATTTTACATAAAATATATATTTTCAATATATATGGGCTACTCTAAAACGGCAGAAAAATCAAAGCCAAAAATCTGAACAAGTTGTGTTTCAAATTTTAGGTTGATATCTCAAAAAATGAGCTTTCAGTAAGATTTTGTTTGAGCGCAGTACCAAACTTTTTCACTAGGGCACAATCAGACTCCATTACTGCCCATATAAGGGCGCCTGCATTTCCATTCGTGTTTTGAGTGATATGAACCATTATTTTCACAATTTTCATACAATTTCTGAAGTAGAGATCCTATTCAGAAGTAGTATGGGAAGTTTGGCAGATTTTGATATGAATTGAACCTCTAAGAAACACATACAAAGAACACGCATGTAAGTCATAGCTAGCTGCCACGTCACAAATGGTGAATTTATTATTTTTTTCTTGATATTTCAAACTTTTCAGACCTTTTTTTTCCAAAATAATTGAATGGATTCTATCTTTTGAACTTTTGGCATGAAAACAAACTGAGGTATCTACCATTTTTTCATGATTTTTCATGTTTACTGCTATTTTAAAATAAAGGTCTGAACACGCCTTATGAGTATGAAAATATTCTTGTTTTATATTGATAAATTATGACTCCTCTGTAATATATTTTGAAAAATCGAGTGCTCAATGGAGAAAATTAATGGGATTTTAAATGCCACAACCCTACTGTTGCGCTTTATACATCTGTTTACACTTACCAAGCTCATGGGCAGTAGTGAAGGCAGATGGCAACCCATCATCTTCAATCACAGAACAACTTCTCTTGGGATCACACATGGTGCCAACATCTGCCATACCCAGTGTGTCACATGTTGAAGCTCCACACAGGTCCTAGATCAGCAAAACAACAACAAATTGTGGTCATAATCCTTATCTGAATTTTTAACACATTTCTTTCTGAATTTTTAAAAATTTCTCATTTTTTACATTTTCGCATATTTAAGTGTAATGTAAAAATATAAATTACACTTTAAAGTGTAATCTATATTTTTACATTACACTTAAATATGCGAAAATGTAAAAAATGAGAAATTTTTAAAAATTCTGAAATTATATATATATATATATATATAATACATTTAGCATTCAGTAATATACAAATTGGTGATGATGCTAGGAAGTGTCACCCAATGGCATGTGGTTTCAACAACCCAATCTCATGAAATTATGCATTGCATTTATCATGCAATTTATCTGTGAAAATTTGTTGATAAATATGATATGCACTGTAAACCCCTTGGGTAGAATTATGGGTGTGGGGTACGTGAGTATTGTAGACTTGGGTAGAATGTCTAGAATGGGGTACGTGCGTATTAGTGTAAACTCATTTGCACTTATAAATTGCAAATAAATACAATGCATGCATACTATAGAGACACATTTTTATGAGATCAGGCCAGGTTTCAATCATTGGTGCATAAATCCTGGTGTAAAGTTATAATATTAGTGATAATAAACAAATAAAAAAAAACTTCCGGGCAGCACTGATACGCAGGTAAATGTAACTGAAGAATAACATTAGCATAATGAAAAAGAAAGTGAGTGAAAATTATGAAATTAAGATTGATGTGGACATATTTCAGATACCCCAAATATCTCTTATTTTTATTGTTGAAAAAATACAAAATCTCAGTCCAAAGGAATTTCCAACTGACCTATATTGTGTTATATGAATTTTCTCAAAATATCTGGTGAAGCCCTACTGACTAAACATCATAATAGCAGGTTTTCTCGTCAACCTTATCCCATGGTGCAACACCCTATACCAACTCCCAAAAAAGAACTAACACTGACTGCGGTCGTAACCTTAGCATTAAAAGTAGAGTTTCTTTCTGGCTACAACACGCTTAAAGGGAACAGAAGCTTCACCACATTCAAAAGAGACTGTTTATTCAGATCCTTTAATGCTCAGCTTTTGCTCTGATAGCTTTGACCACAAATTAAATTGCATTGTCGAAGCTGAAGTCACACATCAGAGTGAGCAACAACGGATATATTTGTATATAAACATAAAATTGTTAGTCGTTTAGTTAAATTCCAAGACAGCTTATAAGGAAAGGGGGTTTCTTCTGGTCTCTCATTTTTGACCTAGTTCTCACATTCTCTACATTTCTTGATGTATGAGAATCCAGCTGCTAACTCCCAGTGATCATCATGGGGCTAATCATAAACAAAGTCCCCTGAATCTTTTTAGACCTTCTGACGATAGCTGCCTCACTCAAATATTCAGCAGGTCAAATAACTTCCCTGTAGTCAGGCATAAAGTGGTTGGGAGTGAATTCTTCAGTCATAATTTTGTGTAACAACTAATCTGTGAGACAGAGAGACAGGGATAGCTGCAGGTCATAATGGGCGTGCCAAAAGGTACACAATGCTACAACAGACCTTAAAACGTAACGTAAAAACCTTTCGGCATGCCCCCTAACTTTCTGCATGACCTGACTCTACTCTCAGGATGAAAATACAGCGAAGTTGGCGCAAAAAAAAAAAAAATGCAGTCTATTATTACGTGAAGGCCTCTTCCCACAAATGCATGTAACAGGAAAGGTGTGACCTCTTTTTCTAAATCATTCCATTCTCCACTACCTCAACACCAGCTGTTCTATGCACAAGGGTTTTTAACTTCACATTAGTGATTAAATTAGCCACTCGGCTCTAGTTACAAGTATACACAAACAATCTGAAAGCAAACGGTTTTCTGATTGGATTACTAAAGAACATGAACAATTATAGTTGTTCGCAATTATGGTGTTGAGGTCATTATTTTGGTCATATGTAGTCCACAGACTGCTATACACAATCTACAGCCAGGGAACAAACATTCAGGGAAAAATAAGTTCAAGTTCAGTGGAAATATGAAACATCTGATTAAAAATTAGAAACACTGTGGGCCAGATCCCTGTTCTGAAAAACTTGTACTCGTGTGACTTGGATCTAAAATCTGTTTGGACTGCTAGTTGAAATATGAAGAAAAGAGCAAATGAGGTGAGGTTTAGTTTTTTACATGCAATATTTGTCAGAAATCATTTAATATGTTATCTGATCAGTTTCATGTTACTCCATTGAGTTATACCCTCAGTTCTGACTCCAAGTGCCCAATAATATTAAATAAGGTATGGGTCTTTTCACTGGATTGTAGCCATCAGCCTGTGCCAGGTGGAGGAAACAAGATCTTTTTCAGGTCCCGGTTAAGCTAATGGTCCAGACTCCAGTGCTCTCACAATGTTAGATAAGCAGTGAGAGCAGAGACTTCCAAGTCATTTCAAGTAACTTATCTATCCACTGTTTTTTATCCATCCTCTATGTTTGGCCAGAAATCTCTTTATCCTCAGCAAAACAGGGGGAGGGGGGTTTACTTGCCCACACTCTCCACAAGCAGCGCTGACCCAATTGGCATCCAACATTGCAAACATACGACTTTCATTATGCCTTTATAAAATCCAAACTGTTCCATATGTGCATTTCTCTCTGTTTTCCCTCTCTCACTAATTCTTGCCTTCCTTCGCACTTTCTATCTAGATCAATGTTGTACTTTCTCTGATAAACTATTTAACTCTACCCCTGCAGGGAGATAGTGGTTATATGGTTAGCAACCCAAGTAGATGTACACTTCCAGCAGAGTGTCTGTGCAAACAAGCGCATAATTAAATACAGACCATATAGCAATCCAATTGTAGTGCTTCAAAATTACAAAATTGAGATGATTTTTCTAATGATTGCAATAGAGCATTTCCCAATTTTTATTTGAGGTATTTAATTTTCGCCATCTTGTTGTTGTTTCATTTTGTTCCAAATACTCTACTGCCCAAGAAAACTCAATGAAAGAGTTTCTCTTGAATCGTACCATGTGACGAATTTGAGAACAGACTGCAAAAAACAAGCTCACATGGCAGTCAACAAGCTCCAAGCTAGTAATCATTTTCAAACCAAATATGTTGTTATATAAAAATAGGAGATGGGCCTATGTAGCCCAAGGCTGTTGGTTACTTTGAGTTTGCCAACTAAGGAACATAGCTGAATAGGATAGGACATAGGATTGTGCAAACGTTTGATGATGCTGGTAACTTTAGCAATGGAGGCCATGCATTATTGTTTTTTATTTCTTGTTTTCTCATGATCTCAACATAACAAAAGTTGTTTTCTCATGATCTTGACCTAATTTTCTTGAGACCTCGACAACAAAAGTTTTCTCTTGATCTCAACATAAAAGTTTTCTTGTGATCTCAATATAAAAAAAAACTTAATTATAACAACTGATTTTAGACATTTTATTCATTTAGTGATGACGCAGAGAACAAATTTGAGCAAACAAGCTGAATTTCATGAGTTTCATAAATTTATGATGCTCTGGAGGCTGCAAATTCTACGCTGTGATATTAACGTTGCCCAGTAGAAGGAGCCACAGGACGATAAATCTTTTAAGCAATAAACTATATAAAAAGTTTATATCAAATGCATAGATCTTGTACATTTGCATCTTAAAATATGTCAGTGCCATTGTTTTGTTTTAAGATGCACATCAGTATTGTTCTTTTTAAAGAAGTGTTTATAAAAGCTACTTAAATGTACTAATTGAGCTAAAGCTTAATCCTGGCTTAATCTAAGCCCTGTCTGTGAAACCAGGCCTACATGTTTATAGACTCAACTAAAGCATTTTGTTTTTCAAGTTGTCAGATATGATAAAAAGGCTTGGAACACGCCGCTTTGTATGATGTGTTGACATAATTTCTACTGAAAATGGATGCTAAGGCGGGACATATTGAATGGCTCCCTCCCCCTTTTCAAATTAGCCAATGGCATTTAGTTTACCTCGCAGACTAAAAGTTGTATTTGACAGCAACAATGGAAGCGAATCCAAGTGCTGATGGGACATTTGATTCATTAGTCAAAGTGTAAAAATATACTAGCCATTTCATTGTTAAACAATCAGTTGGAAAACAATATAAAACTCAAGCGTTTGAGCAACCGAACAAATTTTGAATGCTTATATCTTCTTAATAATGTTGTCATTGTTTTGGAACACACCACCTTATTCATAACATTAAGGCTAACATATTCATACTAAAAGCTATAAAACTTACATTTTGATTTCAAATGGCCTTTAAGTGTTAAACTGCAAGTCTAAGTAATCAGACACATTCTCAAATAACCTGAGTCCTGACATTAGCTCAGAAGCACATGAAGCACAGGAGAATTATTCCATTTTTATTTTTCCCCAAACATGTTATGTGACAGTTTATTCTGTGTTGTGTAGTATGTTTAGATACCGAGTGGTCTGGGGTGTTTACTGATATGCTCACACAAACATCGCTGCAAAATATGCTTTCCAACAGGTTTTATCATAGGTTTTGTCCAAGTCAAGTCAATGGAGTGGGACAAAAACTATGATATAACCTGTTTTTTTCCAAATTTCAATATTAACCATTCTATTTAATCAGAAACAATCTTAAAACGGGGCCGTAAGTGTAAAATACCGAACTTGTCCTTTAACAGCACATACACCATAAACTGTAGTTCAAGTGCTGAAGTTGTATGTAAAGTATTGTAAATCCATCTTATGTCACTATTGTAATGGTTACATTTCATGTTGCCATAGCATGACTCTCAGTCTCCTGCAACAGTGGCCTAGTTACAATTCTTGCTCTGGTTTTTATTAAACATGAACTGATGCAGTTTTGCATGGCTGGCCAACAATGACTCATTTTGAGACTTTTCTTGTTTCTTGCAACAAATAGACTTCTTAAAAAAAACATTCTCACTGCCATAATATTTAATTAGCGAATAAAAATACCTACAATAATCCACTGCTGGTTTTGATGCCACTACATTATTTGACAGAAAGATGTACTTGAAACGGAACGGAAACATCTTTTTTACGTCTGTACAGATAATAATGTTATCAAAATGATTCCTGTTCACACGGTTACGTGAAAATTTCAAAAAATGTTTTGAAGTAAGTAGTTGGCAATGTCACTTTGTAAAGAAAGAATGCATATATGCATTCAAATGCACGTGGCTAGACTAAACACAATACGCATGGCATGTGCATGCCGTCACTGTTTTCACAGATTCACATTTTTGAAGTTTACACAGAGATGATTGCAATATACTTTTCAAAAACTTGCCCTTTGAAGCCAGTTGAAGTTTGTGTTTCTTAGGCCACCAGAACGCTGTTGTCGTGTAAACAGCCAGAACGCATAAAACATCTTCTGTTTTCCTTTGAAAACTGTGTTGTGTTTAAAAGCCTCCAAATTAATTAACAACTGATTTTTACAATGGAAATGAATCAACACTGAACTTACTTAAGCAAGACAATGACACTGCTGTATACAGCCAAAACAATCTTTGGTGCATGAATTATCACTGTAAAGCTGCTTTGAAACAATCTGTATTGTAAAAAGCGCTATATAAATAAAGGTGACTTTACAGACAATTTGGTCACAACAGAACAGGGTGGATAAAAAGATTTTTAAAAGATTTTATTCATTTGCAGAGGTGTAAAGTCCAGGAGTCAGAAAGTAAATTCCTGCCATATGTTTATTCCACCCTTGAACTCAGCAGGCTGATTTCACTAATTAGTTCTCCTGGCTGAATGTCCACACAGGTTTTCTCTCTTTTCAGATTCTGCTCATTAAATGCTAGTAATAAGGAATAGACTGAAGGGGGTTGGGAGGAGAAAGAGGGGTAAAGATCACTCACAGCTGCGACTGTGGTTAGGGGATGCTCCCATTAGTGTAGGCCTATTTCCCAAAGTGCTGTATGAAACTCCCTTAACTCTTTTGTATACATTGGCCTTGTTGAAATAAACAATCGAACAAAGAAATAGTTCTGTCTATTTGACTTTCTTCTGTCTATTGAACACGTACATACACACACAAAATATAAATAATGTAACACTTATCCATTCAAGCAAATGCACTTTAAAACTTTAAAAAGGATGCAAAAGAACCATAAATACATTCCATGTCTCCTGAAATTATCATAGTTTTGTGAGTGGAAAAGTCCAAAATGTAAGTATCTTCATTAATTCAAGATCTGGATCAGATGGATTCTTGATCAAATCAATTGAAAACCTGCTCTGTAAAACTGATTCATTGAAAAGATCTAACTCAAAAGTATGATTCATTCACAGTGCTACTTCTTTCATGAACTCTTTCAGAGCAGGAAAGTGAAAAAGCTATAAGTGAATAGACTAATAAGAAATATATGACCTACTTTTATGATCCATTTCTGGTCCGTTTTGAAGCTTGAAAGCTCCAGTCCCCATTCATTTTAACAGAATGGAAAATAGCAACTAGCACAAAAATGTCTGGGTTTGCTAATCTCCCTATTTTAGCACTTTAATACGATGGATTTCCAAAGCATTATAATATAATCTCCATTTAAATTTGAGGTGAATCTACATTTTTATAGATACAGTGTGTCTATATGTTCAACACACTATAGTGTTCATCTATCATAAATATCATTCATCTGCCTTTCAATCAATATTTGTCATTTCATTCATATTTCTACTCAGGTTGGAAACTTTTTCCTTTATGTAGGTTAGCACATGTACAAGTCTAGCCCCTCTCCAGATCATCTTGACTCATCCAAGACCATGGAGAAACCCGACAATCTCTCTCTCTCTCTCTCTGTCCACAGGGAGTAATGAACATAATGAGTGGAAGAATGTAGGGAGTAACTCCTGCTCTCTTGCTAAAATGCTTCATAGGTTCCCTTTGGAGAAGAAACAATAAAACATTTACTCCTCTTAGAATGATTCACTACAGCTGTCATCCAGACTGCAGACATAACTGGTCTGGATGTCCAGCTCATGTGTAACTGTAGCAGATTACCAGAGGATACAATGGTTGCACTCATCTGGCATATTTGGAGCTGTTTTCACACATACAAGTGTTCCTAAAAAAACAGCTGACAGCCTAAAATGAGTTCATGCGGGTTAGTAAGGGTGAGTCAGTGCAAAGGAGGAGTTTCTGTGTGAAAGCATAATATGACTGGAGCCTGAATGCAAAGCTTAGCCATTCCTTAATGTTGCCCTGGTCAATGTCATTGAAAACAGTTGAAAGAAGTAGATTTTACAGACACTAATAGGCACAATTTCATACAGATTAGGTGACCAATTAAGATTATTATGTTTTAATTTACACATCATCACAATTTATGCAAAACAAAATAAAGGTTGTTGGTGTTTTATTGCCACTGGTGTTCAGATGGAAACGGCAGGGAATTGCGTAGGTACAGTTTTGGAATTTTGCGACAATGTATGTTGAAAATTGACGAAAAACAATCGACTATAAAAGGATCATTAAATTGGTCAGTACGACTAGTGCACTACATTTCAAATCTTCTGGAGCCATGTGGTAGTTTTGCATTAAAAACAAACTGAAATTTAAAGAAAAAAAAAAACATATGTCTTTAGAACATGAGGAAGGTCACCTTTATGGTGCCCTTTTGTCCTTTTGGAGTTTGACAGCACACTTCCACATTAGTTTTAATGATATGAAAAACAAGTGGCCTAGATATTCGCCATGTTTTGTGTTCCATGAAAGAAAAAGAGTCATAGGGGTTTGGAATGACATGAGGGTGAGTAAATGACAACAGAACCTTTGTCTATCTCTTTAGAACTATCCCTTTACCTCCAAATGATCACACTCTTTCTGTTTTCTCCCAAAATAATCTTCTCAGACCTGCCAAGAGTTTAAATGACTTCTATCTCTGACATAACGTCAATAATTTGACCAGCCATCGGAAGACATTGCACTTTTTACATTTATTTAGACATTGTAAGTCCAATCTCAAATCACTTATCATTGCTAAATGCTTTCAATTAAAAATAATGCTCCAGCACAATGAGATTAATGAGCAAATAATTTTATCACTCTGCAAATTGTGGATATGTAAATTGTATATCTGCTGATTCATAGCACGCATTCCTACTCATAGTGCGATAAAGGGCAGTAGCTTCAAGGCAGGCCTGACCCATGACCTTAAGAAGACTTATAAACATGAGGCAACTGCAGGTTAACTGCAGAGGCCACTCTTGTTGCAGCCTGCCCATTACTCTTTGAGACACAAAATATATTTCAGAGTTATAAAAGCTTTATATACCAATGTGTTCATATATTTAAACAAAAAAAAAATAATGTTAGAATAAAAACTGATTGAAGCATGTGCAATTATTATTTTATTTTTTTACAAACAATGCATCATTAAAACACCATATCTATACTTATGTAGTGCAACAGCTAAAAGCTGTGATTACAGTGTTATCATACATCATGTCTAACTTGGGTTGATTATTGGGTAAGTATATTGCAGCCGCCTGAGTGGTGTTCAGTTTTGTTTCAAGATGTTGCAAGCCATCTTGATAAAATTACCATTAGCCGGATCATTCTATTCACTGATTCTCATAGTGCCCCCTATTGACGAAACGCGCATTACCCCACTTACCTGTTTTGTGAATAGGATTGCCGTATCCCAATACTCCTCATGCTTGTCATTGTTTTTGTTCAGCTTCTTCTGCCAGGTGCAGAAATTACGCAGGGTCATCGCCGCGTTCCCGGAAACCTTGGGTCCTTTCTCTTCCTCGTTAATCACCATAAACTTGACAACCACGATGTTGATAGAGTTGAGAATGGTGGGGTGTTTGTAAAGCTTAGCCGCCACAGACATTAAGGTCAGCACGTAATGCTTGAGGTCATCACCGTGGAATTTGGCCATAGAGTCATCGGCCACCACTAAAGTCTCTACATAACGCGGAATGGAGACGAATCTTTTCGAGCGGTTTTTCAGAACTGACATAGTGATGTTACTCAGGTGTTCCTTCATGTGCTTAAACTTCGCCAAAGACTGCGCAACTGTGTGGGTCACATCGCTGTCCACACCGCACCTTGAAGTTGAGTTTCCACTCATATTGGCGTTAGATCTGCGTCTAATGACATGCAAATGATCCCGGCCAGTGTCGTTAAAAGCCGGCTTGATGAAATATTCCCAACCATCGTAACCGAATGCGCCCTGCAGACCCTTGCACAAGCTGAGCGCTGCATAGGAATATGGATCGGCATTCACCTCACCGGCATAAAAACACCGGCTCAGATCTTCACTGTGCGCGGAATTATGAGCCGTTGGGTCGACGCGCGTCGAGAAACCGGGAGCAATGAAGCTGGAGTCCGACTGTAAATCGAGTACAAAATCTTGTTCAAATGCACTTATTTTAAATACAGCTTTATGCTCCAACGTGTTGTCTTCTGCACCGACTAAACTGTTCTTGATTTGATTCAGTCTGACGGGCACGCAAAACTGACTCTTCATTGAATTCACATTTTCCAATTGAGCATAGAACACGTTAACAAGAAGAACTGACCTTAGCAACAAAAACATGTTTGTGCGTGAGAAAAAAATGGACTAATAAAGCGCAAATTGAGATTGAGTGAGATGTGGATGCAACAATATTCCAGGATGCGGTTGCACTAAAATGTTGCTTTTGCGCGTCCATAAAGTGTGAAATCCGCCGGTCTGTGATCCATCCCTTTCTTGTACCTGTAAACTGAAGCGGCTCTACTCATCTGTCGTCTTTATGTGCGCGCGTCATGTGCAAACATCTAGCGCTTGTCATCAGAAGTTTTTGGGGAGGTGCTCGAGTTGCGCTCACTAATATGAATGCTTCTCGATTTAAGGTGAAGCCTGCAAGTACTTGTGGTTGTGTGAGCTTTCGCATCATCAGCCTGCAGCGCTCCAAGTCAAGAGCCGGGGTTCCCCTCCCACTTCATTTACAGCATCCAAACAGTCTCTTATGATATGAAGTTCGCAAGGGGAGGACAGCACATGGACTACAGATATATACAGTACTGCAACGTTTTAAATACATTCTATTATGATCTTAATTTATGTTTTAGTCTTAGCTTGTAACTGTTATGGCTACATTTATTTGTATCTTTCCTTTTCTAAAACCTTCAAACACGAGTGATAAAGGCTAATCATAATTTAAGGAGAGGTTATGTAGCATGCATATATTATTTTTGCATAATTGTTTGTGTGCTTGACCGTTTCCTAACATTTTTGGTATAATAAACTGTCAAAAAAAAAAAAAAAAAAAAAAAAACCATATCAGAAAATAGGGGCAGTAGGCCTCCCCTTAAAGGTACTCCTATCCTTAGGATGAATAGGCTACTGTATAAATTGGTAGGCCTACCTACTTACAGCTGCATTGTACAGTATGCACCTTCTTTAGGGTGCTGTCCATTTACATTTATTCATTTAGCTGATGCTGTTATCCAAAGCGACTTACAATTGCTATAGGCTATATGTCAGAGGTTGCACGCTTCTGGAGCAACTAGGGGTTAAGTGTCTTGCACAGTGACACATTGGTGTCTCACAGTGGATTTAAACCTGGGTCTCTCACACTAAAGGCATGTGCCTTTTTTCCACTGCCACCACCAATGATATGCTAAAATACAATTTCTTAATTGTGTCAGTTGCTGAATTCGAAACTGTATAGTATCTTACTGTACTAATTTTACCATATATTTCTATGGCAGAAATAGTAAGAGTATGCTAATATACAGTTCTGAATTCAGCATCGGTCATGACTGCTGAATCTCAAATGAAGGACTTGTTCAGTCAGTGGACCCATTCAGTTATGCACAGATGTAAGAGCGACATCTTGTGGTGAAACAATTTCAGCACAGTTTAGTTAATATTAAAAAGCTTTAAACTACTACCAATAATTTCAAAATAACATCTTTCCATTCCAAGCAACCACGACAACAACAAAAACATTTTAGTAGCCTACTGGACAGTGTTTTGTACCATACGATGCCATAAGATCTCTTGTTAAATTGTTACCTCCAGTTTCCAATTTATGCTCCAAATGATACAATGTTGCCCCTTAGCGGTAGTTTTGAAATCAACCTGATATCAGAGACTTTACGCTGCGCTATCATAATGAAGACCTCGCCGAAAAACGTGTTGTTGTAAGTAACCTATTAGATGTCCCACCTTTTTTCAAAGATTTGTCCTTCTATTTAGTTTTTTAGAGGTTTTATGAGTTTAAAGTATGCATGATTTAAATCAATGCCACAAAGCGAGAAGCTCTGGGTTTTGCGTCAATTATTTAAAATAACGTAGTAGCCTAATATGTTTTAAACTGATATGCACTCCAAAACGTTTGGGGAACTTTTCAAAATCATTCATTTTGATTTAGTTCACCTAGCCGTGATATTCAATGCACCTTGCTCGTGGGTACACCGCTTTTCTTCCAAGATTTTCACTGGTTTAACACGGTCTCGAGCATCTACATGGTCGACACTCAACACATATTTAGAGTGTCCTGCAACATTCCAGTCGGCTGTTATAATAATAGCTGAAAGTAAGACCCGCTGTAGTGAAAAGGGGGCGTGTCGGTAGCCCCATTGGATCAAACGTTTTTTTTTTTTTCTTTTTTTTTTTTCTTTCTTTTTCTTTTTTGCTCTAGCGCATGAGGGGGAGGAGAGAGAATGAATATCAAAAATAAACCGCGTACGCTGGAGAAGCACAAGACAGTATAAATACCAGCAACGCGAACATTCTTCACCTACAGTTAGCCGAATGAGTATTTTCTTACTGGACTGTTTTTATGAACTCTCGAGACTTAGCCTAATATTAATTCTTATTAAGTCAATATTTATATGAGGTTTTTTCACAGGATTTGCATTATCTTCTGTGCGTGCAGTGCCGCTCACAACATAGGCTACAGTTTTGAATATTTCCGAAATCACTTATAAAAATGCTATCCACATTAGTTTGTTATATACTTTTCTTGGTAAATGTTATGTCTCAGTTTGCTCTGTGTGAGTTAAACGAGGAAGAGGAAACTGTGCCAATAAACTTTGCATTCAGAAAAGGTGTTTTTCATAGGAATGAGGAGAGAGCGCGTTTTAAGATCAGTGCCTTTGGCCAACTTTTTGTGCTTGACCTGACGCCGGACAGCAAGTTCGTGTCTCCAGCATTAAGCGTCCAGCGCATTAAAGCGAAGAATCTCCCCGCGGTTCTAGACGCCTCCAGGAGCGGAGGTTCTCCCAGGGGTGTCACCCAGCACGGAGACGGTGTTGCGGACCTCAGAGACTGTTTCTACACCGGAACGGTCAACTCCGAAAAGGAATCTGTAGTTGCTGTTAGTTTATGTCACGGCATCCAGGGTACTTTCATAACGCAAGGGGACGAGTACTTTGTTCAGCCTAAAGCAAGTGTCAAGACCACCGGGACATCTTTTACGCAGGTGCACGTAGTTAAAAGGCGAGTCTTTTCCAACCACCGGGGAGCGTCAAATGTGGTCTTTGATCAAATAAAAGTGGACCGTTTTGTGAAAGAGAGCAACAAGAACTCCAGTGAAGACGAAGACCGCAAAATGAGACGGGCAAAAAGATTTGTGTCTGCTGCGAGATACATCGAGACTCTGGTAGTGGCCGACGCTTCAATGACACGTTTCTATGGAGATGAGATAAAGGTTAGTAAACTCGCAAATTGCTAATTTAACAAATTTTTATTAAATTACTAAATTAGCAGTGTTATTAGATCTTTCCCTCAATTCATTCTGAAACACAATGTTTTATTGAAGAAATGTAGAATAGCCTTCTCTCTCTCTCTCTCTCTCTCTCTCTCTCTCTCTCTCTCTCTCTCTCTCTCTCTCTCTCTCTCTCTCTCTCTCTCTCTGTGTGTGTTTTTTTGCAAGCTAATATCTTTAAATAATATACCCCAATTATTATCCTAAGCAATGCGGACAACTGTGACTGCAATATTTATAGTAGGCCTATTTATGGAATATTTAGAAATGCTTTAACTTGTTTACACCTGCCTTCAATATTTTTTCCACGTGAAATTTAATACCATTATGAAAATTAACCATAGTATTATTACAGTACTATATATATATATATATACTGTGTATATATATATATATATATATACTGTGTATATATTGGCGGACTGATTACCATTTGTATAGGATAGTCTACCACAGTTTACTACAAATACCATGGTCAAACGAGCCTGTGGTAAAACGTAATTTTTGGTTACCATGGTTGAACCACAATTTTGTAAAATCATTGTTATTTTTACCATTGCCTACATCTATGAGCATGTGCAGGTTACGCGAAAGTGTACACTTCTGATGACACTGATGACATCAGCCAATACACTGCAGTGTTGTAGGGAGCAAGGATCCTGAAGTGAAGAATAGACTTTTTGAAAGTCTAGGAATGGTAGCGAATTGGCATCATTTTGCATCAAGGGATGTATTTTGGAAATTGAAACCGTTGTATCCTCTCTCTCTAAATGATTGATCGCAACAGGGTTTCTCTCATTGAAATATAAAGTAGATTGGCATTTCAGAACCCTGAGAGCGAAATCTGTTACTGGACTATGGTGCGGGTTTTAGCAGGAGCACCTCAATGCAAGATTCAAGGGTTGGAGATGGGTAGGATTAGGGTTAGGTTTAGGGATTAGGGGTGGGTTTAGGGATCAGGGGGCGGAGTTGGGTAGGTTTAGGTGTATTTAAGGTGGGAGGAGTTGGATCTGGATCCGACTCCGATACATGGAGGTGGGGCTATAGACTAGATCAAGCTTAGCCCATGATGTCCAGAAAGGTGGTGTTGGACATCATTTGTCTCTGCAGTGAGCCCCACTTGCGTTTCTTGTAGAAATGCAAACCTGGCAGTGGTCGCCGGTCCCCCGAACAACTCCGTGACCTTCCCCTGCTAGAAATCGCGTTCCTGTTCTCTACGTCACTGATTGATGGCGTCTTTTGTAAAAATACATCTGCAAACTAACTGTCCATGTTTGTCCAAAATGCAAGTTTTTGTATATTTAATACTTATAGACCTATTTGAGAAAAACACTTTTTGTAACACACACTGTTAGCCTAGTGAACACTGAAATAGGGAATATGCAGCCTACACACGTGTTTATCCATTATAGTTGATGCACCACTAACTAAATATCAAAACAGCTGGCATATGTGCTGTTTCACATTATCAAGGATTTCAGAGTAAAACTATCATTCAGGGACACATTTCCATTGCAGTCTTTATTCTTATGCAAAATTCACACATTTAAATAATCAGAGTAAAGAGTATGCGTATTTGCCGTGCTGTCCGAATGGAGCTCTGAATTTGGCCCAAACCCAGAGTACTCCCCCCAAATCCCTGGCTGGAATAGAAACCAGACAAGAGTGAGGAGTCGGGAGGTGGAGGGTGGATGCAGAAAAACTCTCGAGAACCACTAAAACTTGTGGTTTGAGGGTGACTGGGGTTGGTTATACTGATTGTAACAAAATATGAAACTAGTCTGTGAATCAGTGAGGGAGAAAAAACCCTACAGAGGGAGGTGAAAGGACCATCTGGAAAAGAAGGACAGACAGAGGTTGTTTTTATCCCATATTATTGATTTGAAGAACAACAAAAATTTTAATATTTTGGTCTCACAAATCTTCTGATTTGGGCTACACCTTTATTTTCTCCCCCCAAAATATAGTGTCAAGTTTAATGAAAAAACAAAAACTTAACATGTATGTCTACTGTGATGTTTGTGTATCATCTGCATTAATATGTCTAACATGGAAAGTTATGCCTCATAAAAGCCTGTTAAACTTTTATCAAGTCATAGTCTCCTAAAGTATGAAACTGAAAACAGTCGTTTTGAAAAAATATGTTGTTTTTTTTT